TTCTTTCAACATGAATTTATTGCATGGTATGGTATGGTTAATGTTCAGTCTGGGTTTTTGTTCTAAAATAATAGTGTTTAAAACATTTAGGGAATTTCTCCTAGAATCTGTTTTATGAAAACTTATGGTATGGTGTTAAGTATGATGGTATAAGATTGACCGTAAGAGAGAGGTTAAGGAAAAGCAAACAAAAACTTGTTGCAGAAATGTAGTGAAGATATTTTAAGACAGAAATTGACTGTCTTAATTACCAGATACCAATTTATAGTAATGTAGAATTGAAAGTGCTGCATGTTAGAAAAAGTAGTCACAAGGGATTAGTTTTCTTGTCATAAATTCTCTAGGTTTTCATGCTGAGAAGTCTTGAGAACATGAAGCTTTTGTTACCCTGGAGTAACTTGATGACTGCATACAAAGTTAACTAAGATCTTAATCTGACTTGAAGAATCCTAATGAATGGAATATATCTTCTGCATGCTTTACTCAGACTAATAAATGCCTGATAAGTGAAGTGTTCCTTCAGGTTGGCCTAGAAACAGTAAGAAAGATGATGTTAAATCATGTGGAAGTTTGGCAGTCAACTACCGTATCTGGCTTCTGTCTCAAGCGTGGTGTTTTCTGCTAGCTCAGATATATGGTTCATACTGGGGTCGTACACAGATATCTATAACTTAGTCTCCTGTTTAACCCAGCAGCCTGAGCAGGCATGTCCTTATGGCCTCAGTAAATGGATATGAGTAAGTTGCTTTGCCTCAGACACAAATCCTAAGGATCTTAAACTCATTAAAAACAATAAAGTAGTGATTTGTTCTTAGAATTACAACCAAAGAACAATTCCTGAACAAGGGGTTAAATGTAGACCAAATGCAGTGATTACTGAAGTGTGGGGAAAAAAAAACATTTTTTGTTAATTGTAGTGGGGTTCTGCTGTGCAAACTGTACTTGAACACACATTTGACATGCATACATTTTTATTTCTTGTAATACTGAGCTTTGAGGACATGGGACCTTTCTTTATTAGTAATAAAAAAAACCTGAATGTGAGACAATGTGCAAAATATTTTTGTTTACCAACACAAATGAGGAGACGGCAGTGTATTTGTTGATAGGGATGAAATCTGATCTTACGTGCTTTTTTTCTTTAAGTATGACATCATTTAACTAATTATGTAAATTTATACTCTGTTTTAAAGGTGGAAGAGGTCAGATAAAACAGAAGAAGAAGACTGTACCACAGAAAGTTACAATAGCTAAAATTCCTAGAGCAAAGAAAAAATATGTCACAAGAGTATGCGGCCTTGCAACGTTTGGTGAGTTTTATTATGTGGTTTTTGTTGGTCTTAGATGTGCTTGTCTTTGACCTCATGGTGTTTCTTCTGATAGTATTACATTGAGTGATCTGCTTCCATCTGTGCAACTTGAAAGTCCCAAGGTGCTTTTAGCAGTTCCAAAGCATGACAGAGGTACACCAACTTCCCTCAGTGATAAGTTAAAGTCCTTATTTCCACAGTATTTGCAAACAAATAGGGTTACAGGTTTTTTTGAAACACAGCTTTCCATAGGAGTCCACTTGCTAGACTTGAGAGTAGTCTATTCTCTTTAACTATAAGCATGTTTATTTTCAAAAAGATGCTTATTTCCATCAAACTTCCAAATATGTTCTTGACAATTATTTTTACCTATTCTTGAGTCTGATTAAGTAAGGCTTTAACTGCCTTTCTAGGACAGCAGTCAAATCGTTACCAAAATACACCAACAAAGCTGTCCTATGTAGCTTTGGTTCAGCTGCAAACAGCCACTTGGTGTTTATAACATCTTACTTCACACTTTGATCATGAATTCTGTTAAAAAGGTAAGGTTTAACCTTGGTTGTACTAACAAGATATGTTACGTATTTCCTGCATGAGAATATCATCAGTTTTCTTGAGGGATCGGTGATATGCACTAGCTTGATCTGAACTGGATACATATCTTTGTGCTGGAAGCCAGTTGCAAAAATTGTTGGGTTGTGTTTCTGAAAAGAACATACTGAAGCAATTCTATGGAAAAACTTGCTCAGTAACTATGAGGGTTACTCAGAACTGGAGGTGCTTTTTAAACAGTTCTGCATGTGCTTTTCTGGCGAGTGTGTGTAGCACAGACCTACATAAACAGAATGTGTAAGGGACATTCAGCGATTTTTGCCTTAAGAGTTTGCTAGATTTGTAGTGTCAGTTATTTTGTATGTAAACAACAGACTTTTGCTTTCAATGAAAATTGAAGCAGAGCTTTAACTGTAAACTGCCACTAGTTTTTCAACAGTTAAAACAAGATTCAGGTTTTAAGCTTGAGAACACTTGTATGAAATGGCTGTACTTAAACTGTCCGTTTTCCCATTAACAGAAATTGATCTTAAGGAAGCACAAAGGTTTTTTGCTCAGAAATTTTCCTGCGGTGCCTCAGTAACAGGAGAAGATGAAATCATCATTCAGGGGGATTTTACGGATGACATTATTGATGTAATCCAGGAGAAGTGGCCTGAGGTAACAAACTTTCCTTCTGCCAGAACTCTAGTTTTCTACAATAGCCTGTGACTTCCAGGGATTTTGAAAAAGGGTTTCATCATTGGCAGCATGAACTGTTGTGCAAAAATAAGAGACCAGTTGTTGCAACCCCACCTATGAATGACTAAGTTAAGGTGTGATTAAATTTGAGGTCAAACATTGCTTCCATTGTCCAAGAAGCATTAATTCTCTAAACATGTAGTGCTGTTACTGTGGCTATGACAGTGAGGAAGGCATGTTGGGATAAGTCCAGCTGTCAGATATCTTTGGCTTCTTTGTGACCACTTCTTAACCGTGAATGCCTAAGTATTCTTACATTGCCATCTTATTTTTCAAAATTGCTTAAAATATTGCAAAATTAAAAAAACAAACAAAAAAAAAAAACCCAACCAAAAAAAAACACAAACCACAACAAACAAAACAAAAGTAAGAAACAACCAGGAACAAAACCTCTTGTGCTTCAGAAGAAGAGAATTAGCTAGTTTGGGGTTGGGCTGAAATGTTGATGATTGCGAGTCTTGGTTGCACCACTGTAATTGTAGGTGGTTTGTTTGACTCTCCCTTGTTTTAATATTTCTAGTATCCAGGTTCTTTCTGAAATAGCTGCAGGCCTGTCTTTATTCAGAGCCCTGTAGGTTTGGCCATGTCCTATAGACACATTTCACTTGTGTAGAATTTACAGTAGGAAATCTCAAATGGTGCTGTGTACTTCTCCCATACTTCATTACGTGTTCAGTGGTGAATATTGAGACATATAAGAAGATTAATATGCTGTGTTTTGGCCTTTTCTTTCTCCCTAGGTGGATGATGATAGCATTGAAGATCTTGGAGAAGTCAAGAAGTGATAGTGAAAGACTACCTTTATTTAATTATATGGTTATAAATGATGTAGCCAAAGTGAGGCTTCTAAATCCATTTGCTCTGCAGTGAAACTGTAGAGAACCCGTATCCTTGGCATTTTCACTGTTCTGTATAGGCTGCTTGGTTTTTCTGTTGTGATATTTGCCAAAGTTAAATTGGGGTTTTATCATGCTTATGCATGAAGTAGATTTAAATAAAATTACTGTTCCTCACTGCGTACAGTTTCTGTTTTCTTTACAGCTACTTTCCTCCAACAATTTTACAGGAAAATAATGATTTAAATCATTAAAAGTTTATTTTTCATCTGCTGTCCTTTCTGCTGAGCTGAAGTGAATGAGGCATGTGGCTAATGTACAGAAACTCGTACCTCTGATTTATCTGCATACAATTTTAGAAATCAGAATGGGACAAAATTCTAAAGGTTTGTTAACAATTAAAGGCAAATGAACCCTGAAGTGGTCCAGTTGGACTAGATGATTGTTGTAGGTCCCTGCCAACTGAACTATTTTATTCTATTAAGTGGAAACACTGAGGAAAATGTGTGTATGTCTGAAACATTTAGCCTTTTTTTGTAATTCCAGATGATCTCTTAACCCTGCTGGTCTAGGTCAGGCAATTTTATTGGCTTGATGCTTTTAGCATACTGTTAGTTTAAGAATGGTGTTCATTCACACAGTTTCATAGTGACCGCTGTTTGCTTCCACAAGCTGTGTTCATGCAGCAGATCAGGTGGGGTGACAGCTCTGCTGCTCGGTTCTCCGTGCTCCTGCAGACAGCCTCAAGCATCAATTTGGTGCTTTGTATTTCACTGCTCCATTTAATAACATTAAATGCTCCCTGGCGGCAGAGTCTTGGAACTGACATTCTCTGTTGTTGTAAAACCTAGTTGAGGTCAAACACAAGAGGGTGATGCATTGTACAACCTGTCCTCTAACAATAAAGGACTTTTTTTTCTGTGATATTTGTTTGTAAGCTGATGGGTTTGGCGTATCTAATGAAATAACTGTATCTCTGTACTTGTTCTGTTTAAAAGATGAGCAGAGTAGTTACCTCCATCCTGCACCATCCAGTTGGGTTCTTACTTGTCTTCTAGTAACATTATTAATTCTTAAGAACATTTATTACATTAATAACATTAATTAAAAACATTATTTATTAGTTAATAAATAAATAACATTTTTCCAGGCAGCTCCAGCCCCGCTGGCAGAGTGCCGCCTTAGGCAGAGATGGGACTTGAACTCCTAGTAGCATTATTAATTCTTAAGAACATTTATTACATTAATTAATAACATTTATTTGTTTATTTACTAATAAATAATTTTTTCCAGGCAGCTCTAACCCTGCCGGCGGAGCACAGCCTCAGGCAGACGCGGGACTCGAACCCGTTGTCTTTCTGTTGCCGGGGGGGCGGAGCTGCTGCCCAACCGTCACCGGCAGCGGGCGGGGAGCGGGGCGCCGCCGTGACGTCCGGCCGAGGGCAGCGGTGGGTTTGGAGGGCGGGGAGAGGTGAGGCGCGGAGTTACCGGGCGGCAGCGGCGGGTCTGAGGGGAGGGGGATGGCCCCGGGGGGGCCTGCTCCGGGAGCGGGCCGCCCTCCCGAGCCGGTGGCACCTCAGGGCCCACCCCCGCCTCAGGCCTCATCGGCCGTGGGAGGCCGCAGGGCCGCGCCCCCGCCGCGCTGAGGGCTCAGCGGCCTCTCGGCTTTGTCGCCCCCGCAGGGTCGCCAGCGCAGCTGCGGTCCAGGTGTGCAGTGCTTGAGGGGGAGGCAGCCTCCACAGAGAACGCTGCAGTCAGAAATATTTACCAGTGTCCGCTAATGCCTGGTGGCATTCTGGTCCCCAGTCCCCTATGAATTCATCACTGCCGCGTTCTGCTTCCCCCCAGGTAAAAAAAAAAAAAAAGAAAATTGACAATCAGAGCACTCTATTTTTAACATTAATTTAGTCATTGTACTGCTAATGGTTTCAGTCAGGGGCCATGGGTGGTATGACAACCACGAGGAACTTTTTGAAATGGTCTGGTTATAATATAAAAATATCTTAACTTAAATTAAAACCTTGAGCTTAGTATCAGAGAATTTGGCGCGGCTTCTTACTGTTGAAGTCTGTTTGGTGTGTTACCTATTACAGAAACTTAGCCCAAGCCTTGAGAACAGCAGCATTCAGAAACAGAGGGAAGAACTCCAGCTTTTAATTGCAAAAATGAAAGATCGTGATAAGGAACTCGATGACATGGTTGCAGTGTATCAGAGACGGCTTCTTGCCTGGGAAGATGATCAGCAAAAAATACTGACTTTAGTAGAACAATGCAACTTATTAAACAGTGAGTATTGTGTGTATAAAGAGAAAGACCCATGTCTTTTAAGTATCTTCAGGTGCTTAGACCCCTCAATAACAGTTCTGGATCATATAAGAAGTGATTTCCTAACCTTCAACCTTAAATTTGGTTGTCTGTCTTCTGACCTCAAAACTTCCATGATGGTACTAAAGTGATCTGATCTTGAAGGGGATATGATAATCAGATAGCTCTTTCTCGTTTGAATACATACATTGCTTCTGTGGATTCTTTAAAAAAATAAAGCTGAGAAAATAAATGTGGAGGAAGAGAACAATTTGCAAACATGCGTTGTCCTCCAGAGCCCTGTGCCCTGAGGTTGTGCAGCACAGCTCTGACATGAGCCGCAAGCCACCCAGCTGATGACCTGGTGGCTCTCGTTTGACAGCCGTAGGACAGAGATCACCACAGAGTTCGTGTTCCATCTGACCTGGGTAGCAAGAGAATTCTGCTTCAGAGTGCAGCACGAGCATCCATTTCTGAATAGCATGATTTTAAAACACTGGATTAAATTATTCCTGAGATTTAAAAAATTGCATGACTGTATCTGAGCTGTTTTCTCACAGATACCGTGTCTTCTTTCTTTTCAGATGAGCTGAACAAGATAAATGAAATTATAAAATCACTGAACAAAAGGTTAAAGTTCTTAGAATCTCAGCAGAATGACAGTAAGACAACGCTTGAAAATACACCACAGAAGTTTAAGGAGCTGTCTCAAAAAGTGACAGATGGAACTGTTCACTGTCGGGCTCTGAAGGTGGGAGTTGAGTAATGGTCTGATTTTGCAGTCCATGCATGTACAGAATGCCAGTGGCATTTGTGAGTTTCACTATTGAATAAATATTTCATATTAAGGCTCCTGAGTTGCATTTGTCTTTTAGTACAGTAATGTTAGATAAAAGAATAGCTTTTGATTTGTTGAAAAAAAAAAAAAAAAAAAGGTGCAAAAAAGCTTTCCTAAGCTAGGATTTGGAGTTTGCTTAGTTTTGGGGAACACTGCTTAGGACCAGCTTGCCTCCAAAAATGTCAGGCACTGTGATTGCAAAGGCAGTGCTAGAAACAGTATCGGTACTTGGTTAAGAAGTTTCAGGTTTTACAGCTTTGATTACTGTGATGAACTGTAACAGTCTGAAACTGGTTTAAGGATATGAAAATAATTGGTATTGGAGGGCTCTAGATTTTAAGTGATTTGGCAATGTGTTTGTTATGATTTCCTCTGTATGCAGTAAAGCAAAGCAGTATTTGTCTTTTTCATCAGTCTAATTGGCTTAAGACATGCAGGATATTAAGACCTTTGATCACAAGCAAGTTTAGTTGTAATAAATTAGAACAATTTTTACTCTAGTCCTTTTAGATCCAGATCCTCACAGCTTGCTCAGAATCCCACATTTCCATTCATGATGTTTAAAGTTGTGTAGACATTTACTGGAAAAATGGTAACTTTGAATCACTGAAATAGTAGCTGACACTCTCATTTCTGTTCACTAGGAGAAAGATCAAAGTCTCCACTGCTTAGTTTTGGAACTGTCTGCTAAAACTGGCCAGCTGCAGGCGAGGGAACAGGAACTTCTTACTATGCTTAAGCTGAAGGTAACATCTGTCTTCTCATCAGGCACTAAATGTGGTCAAACTGCAGTGCAGTTACTGGTGACTGCGCCACAGTGGTTTAGTCACTGTTGATGTCACTGCTGTTTATTCTTAGGCTTGTTTGAGAATGGAAAGGTGGTCAACAAACAAGAAACTGGTTTATTTTCATAAACAAGCTTGTTTCCTGGCTTTGATTTTTCCTCAAGAGTTCAGAAGAGCATCTGTGAAGTAGCTATAACTACTGCAATAACATGTACTGTTGTTTTGTCAAAATCCATACATGAAGATAAAACAATAGTCAAGAATACATTCTATTTCATATTTCAGGACGAGGTTATACTTGAAACAACTGATCACATTACGGAGTTTACGTCTAAATTTAAAAAGCTGGAAAGTGCATTGCATGCATCAAAGACAGAGGAATTCAGTCTCAACAAAGAAAATCAAGACCTCAAACTGAGACTGAAAGAACTAATACTTGAAACAAATAAGTTGAAAGGTAAATGTTTATACTGGGTACCTAATTCCGTGCAGACTGGCACGATTCCTTTTCATTCTGGGAAACACTACCTTTTTGTTTTAAAGATGACCTCTGTGAAAAAATGAGAGAAAATAATAAGCAGCAGGAAGAAATTATTTACCTGAAACAAGAAAACGTTTGCCTGAGGAATGAGCTTGCGCTTACTGGTATGTATGAGCAGTTGGATTTTCATGCCTTAGCTTTCAACAGCTCAGAGACTTCTAGACAACAACAGTTCACTAATATTTGTGAAGGAGGCAGTTTCTTATCTACATTTATTGCAGTTTAATAAAGGTATATGCCTTTGTGTGTCATTATTCCATGAAAGTATTATCTAGGGCTTCTGCAGAGACAGTTTATAAAATTCTGTAAAAGCACAAAATTCACCAGTATGGCTATGCATGGAGGAGTGAATGGCTCAGAGGATTCTCCCTTCAAAATTTTCGAGATTTTCATGTCTCCTGTGGTATTAATACAATAAATGGGAGTGGCAGTCTCCCTTCTGACATAGGTTGCCTAGAAAATGGTGACCTGCTGAAAAGAAGCCCCATGCAAAACCTAAATCTTAGGCCCTATGAAATTACCAGCCCATTCAGTCTCTCCAGTGTTTGGATGGACGAAGTATGTTTGCAAATTCACTTTTTCTCTTGTTTAACTCATGGGTTTGATTTAGACAGTTTAATACACAGGAATTGGTAAACTGCTACCTGCTGTATCTCAGTAGCTTCACTTTAGTTTGGGGTAGAGAGAAACTTCTTTATTGAAGGGGATAGGAAAGGCAGGCTGATTGTTGCTGCAGTGTTCTTACACATAAGCAATATTCCTTGAAAGATGAGGTGACCAAACATGCCCTCTGCTGTCAGATGATTTACTTGCTTGTCACTTTTTATCTGCCATTACCTTTGCCAAATATTGATCCCATGTCTCATTATTTTAAAAACAATAGTAATGGGATGTATTTCCCACCACTTCCCTGTACAAGGCATGAATTAGAATTAATTATTGAATTTCCTTTCCATGGAAGAATGTTAACAAGAAAAAGTAAAGTAAATCAGTCAATGAAGCAGAATATTGCTGCTAGTAAAATAAGGCTAGGTGCTGGTAAAAAGTCTGAGGAAAATGTTTGATCTGTTTAGTTGTCTTATGATTTTCATGCTCTATTGAATTGGAGGGGGAACATATCTCACTGATCTTAAGAAAACGCTTTTGTTTTGGTTAGGTACCTGTTTCTGCTGCTACACATATATGCATTAACAAATGTACTTGCTTTGTGTCTATTCACTTTAAGTAACTAAAAAATTTTCTATGTTTTGAAACAGTTGAGAAAGCAAAGCGAAAGGATCAACTTCTTCAGTTTGCCAAGTCTAAACAAGCGCAGACTGACATAGAACTATCAAGTTTGCGACAGGTACAACCCTAATTGTATTTCTACCCTGAGATTATGAAGGCATTTTTCAGTTACACCAGAGCTGCATGAAACTGTATAAAAAAAGTTAGATCTAACTATTCTTAATTAAGAAAAAAAACAAATTAGCTGTTTCTGCCTTGCTGGGATCCGTACAGAATGTTGATTTAAAAAAAAAAATATTTTTTTTTTAATATAAAAACCCCATAGTAAAAATCCTTGTATTTACATGTGCTTTTACCCTTTTTTGTACAGTTGTACTTACTCGGTCCTACAATGAGTAAATAGCAGTAAAGTGGGGGCACTCTGAGATAACAGTTCGTCATTGCATGTGTATAACCCGAGTGCTGGGCTCCAGAAGTCCTGTGAAGGGCAGTGGGAGTGGGACAGGCTGCCTCACGCACATGCCCAAGGTGAACTCACAAAGCATAGAGGGACTTGGTGTACTGAAAGGTGTTTTTCAAGAGAGACTTAAGACCAGTGTTTTCACCTGCACTCATTTGAGGCTCTCAAGGCATGTTCAAATTTTCTTGTTGCAAATAATTGATCAGTATGTTCTCTTCTACATTAACTTGACAAAAAATCCCCTGCAGTGAAAGCCAAATACCATGATCATCATTCCGTGTCCTGTAATTCTGCATACCTCTGAACAACATAATAACAACATGTATTAAATATCAAATAACAATAATGATATCGTATTTATGGTTCAATGTGATTCCGGTTTAGAAGACCACTTCTAATAGACATGCTGTTTATTGCCACAAAATGTTGTTTTCCTAAATATATGCAGAAATGGCCCCATATATTTGGAAGACTTTGACAACAGTTTGACTACAGGTACTGGTTTATAAAAATGTTTTAAGGATATTTTTGGAAGACAAGCAATGTGTCAGTACCTGATGACAATGTTCCTGCAGTCAAGACTTTCACTAATGCACATTACTATCTTTAAACAGATCTATATAAGACAGCAGCATGACTTGCAATTTCTTCATGTCAATTTGGAGAGCTCTCAGGAATCAAGGCAAAAGCATGAAAAGGTGGCACATGAAAGGTAATTTTTTTTTTTCTGGTTTTTTTAGTAGTTTGTTCTCAGAGAGAGACTTCGCTGTTCAGCTGCAACTAACATCCTAAAAGAGATGCGTGCCATGTCAAGGTGGCTTTCCTGGACTCAACCACAGACATCCAGTGAAGTTGTCAGATACCTTTTTTTTTTTTTTTTTAACTTGGACAAGAGACACCATGAGTATCAGTCACAGAATAAAGCACTGTATGCAGGCCAGACAGTTAATGATTTTTTACGAAATTGAATAGTCTAGTGCTAGGGATGTTAATCTGGCTCACTACTACTCTTGTTTAAAAATCAAAGTTTATTTTGCTTTCAGATTAGGAAATTGGCTCACACCTTGGAGGTTCAGACAGAATCACCACACTACATAAAACATGAGGGAACCCTCAGACTGATTTTGGAAAGTAACAGCCCAATCTGGGCAGATTTTTGTTGGGTTTTGGCAGGGTACAGCTGCCTGTTGGTATATGAACTACCATAAAACCATGGCTACAGCCTCTGGTTAATGTATAGCCTTAACCTTGAGTACAGTTATGTATGCTGTTTAAATGCCGTATTTCTGACTGTTTTCTTTATCATGCCATTATAGCATAGGTATGGCATTCTCTGCCCCTGAAAGTAACATCAAGACAGACACGGTTAGGACTGAGAGAACCCACGAGATATGCGAGGAGTGTGGAGCTGCACAAGTTCCAAAAAGTAGGGTAAAAACCACCACTGAGATGTGTGAAGTAGATAATAGACTGTTACCGAATGCATCAGACTTGGTGGAAGCTACCTCAGCATACTTAAACCAATGTCAAAAAGTTGTGAAAGTCTCGGCTCTCCTTAAGGAAGAAGAAGAAAAGCAGGATGTTGCATCAAGCTCTGATGAGCTAGGCAGGAAAGTATTTTGTGAGGCAAACAACATAAGGCCATTGAGAAACAGGGAAATTTCTGAGAATGGAGTGGGAAGCAGAGACCGGCAAACCTTTGAGTCATCTTTACCTGAATATGAGTGTTGGCTTAACGTCAGTTCTTGTGTAGATTTGCAAAATACTGTGATCCAGAGCACCGTCACATCTGACAAAACTGATAATGGAAATAAAAGCTGGGAAGAGAGAACTGGAGTTCTCTTTGGCCAAAGAAGCAGAGAGACTCCCGCTGCAATTCACGACTCTGAATCTGATTCCTGTAGCGATAACGTCAGTGTAAAAAAAGATGCACGGTGGAAGCCAATATCAGATCTGGAATGGTTGAATATTTTCAAACCCATAAAAGGAGATGGAAGTATATGGCATGGAAAAGATTGCAGCTATCTCAAGACTGCACAAGATATGAAATGTGCCAGCTCGAAAAGGTTATGTGCTTATTACATTTAGGAAATAGATACAAGCTGGAATTACGTAGAAACTTGGGTGTACAATCTCTCAATAATTTGTATTGTCTCAAGTGATGTTTAAAGTAACTGCTGTTTCAAAATTAGTCTACCAGCTTGAAGAGTAGTAAATTTAAAATAAGTTCAAATAGCCCTAAGATATAATGATTCTATTTTTATGCTTTTTTTTTTTTTTTGTGCATCTCTTATCCCCAAGAGCTGAGTGGGTAGGAGAGCTGCAATACCACGTAACTTGCCAAATAAACTAATTGAGAAAAATGCAGGTTTAAAAAATCTTAAGACTTTTTGAAATCCGAGATTTGCTTGTAAATCTGGAGGGTAGAATGTTGTGGCCAGAGTTGGACTTCTATATTGATATTTCCGTAAGGCAGAAAACAAGCCTAGATTGAAAGGACAGCAATCTGTCCACTCTCCAGTCTATACTTGTTCATGGGACTCTATCCCTGTGTTTATGTTGGGGGAGGAAAAAGGACATGTGGTTGGGGATGAGCAGAATGAGGTTTCTAATGCTGAGAAGTGTTGGAAAAATACTCAGGTGTCTTAGTGGTATTGGAAAGTATCCGAGATATAAATGCTGCTTTGCATTTATAGAAGTGGTTTTATGCCTGCACAAGCAAGGGTATTCAGAGCTGTGACTTTCTGTGGATTTGTTGTGTTGGTTCCTCTATTTCCTTTCAAAAAATGTACTGACTTACCAGCTCTGTTTTAGAAGGATTTCTGAAGTTTTACTGAGATTTCATAGCTGCCCTTTAGACAGAGAAGAGAAGGGGTAGCTGGTAGTTTGACAAGTACAGTAAATGAACAGCTGTTTAAACCTGCTAAAAATTTTAGCCAGCAAGTCTGCCCAACATCCAAACAAATTAATGTTATGGAATGGAAATATCTGATGTATGGATGCTTTCATTCTATGTTGCTTTTAAAACAAAAATATTATAGAAATTGTTACTGCAGTGAGATAGACCTGTTCAGAAACAAGGTGAATGGGCAGCCATTGAAAAAGAATGCTGTCCTGGCACATTCCCACACAGTTTAGCTGAGCTTCACGCTGTGTGTGGACTCTCTCTAGTTTCCACTGTCCATAAATCATTAAAAATACTCTGTTCCTCTTATGTCTACCCTGGCTTTTCTTATCTATGCTCCGGCAGCACAAATAACACATGACTGTCCCTACAAATCTCTTTTGAGGCTGAATCATGAAAAGTGCTTTCACTTTTTGTCTTATCCTTAAGGGGTTTTTAGGGGAGAAGGAACAAATTCACCCTGGGCAATGCAGATGGACCAGATATCCTTCAGTAAGGGAGGGCTGCTCTTCCTATTTGGGATTTGCTGCTGAGCTATCAAGTTTTCTTGATGCCTACATTGGTCCTAGGAGCCCTGCTAATAGGAGATGGATTGACTCAGTGCAAATCCCAGACTGTCTGCTCTCCAGCCTCTGCTGACTCCGATTTGCCACTGAATAATTTCTCGCCCCATAAATGGGAGGAAAGCAGTAGTATTGCAGTCTTCAGTGTGGGCTTCTGTTTAGGGCATTAATGGCAGAGACCAAACACAGCATTTCTTCTGGGACTTGAATCTGGATCCTCCAGTTTTCCATTGCTGGCTTCATAGTGCTGATGATGTATTTTGTGTGGAGGGAAGGGTGCTGGCACCTCCCTGTCAGCCCAGCAAATATTTTTGACATGAGTTCTTGAATTCTGGAACAGCCAACAAGAAGCCTATTAATGCAGTCAAATACCTTATCCAACTGCAAGAGTGATTGTGAAATACTGGAGTGCAGGAGTCATTTCTGTGTGCTCTGCTTTAGTGACTTCATTTATGTTGGACTGACATTTGCTGCCTTTGGATTTTTATCTCAATTCTGGTTTTAAAGATGGAGTGTCAGCGGTTACTTGTTCAGTCTGCTCCTGTTGGACTAAGCCACCCGTTCCTCGAGCCGTCTCCCTGCCTCACAATCAAACCTGCTTTCTCCCCTCCCTCCCAACCTGTATATTTTTCAAAACTGGCTGTGCTCATTGCATCTCCTCACATTCCCTGTCCTAGGCTGCTCACATCTCTCCAGAGCCTTTCCTTGTCAGAAGCACACAAACATGAGGTCTTCTCTCTTAAAAGACAGCCTCTTGTATCCCAGTGTTTTACAAGAGAAATGAAATAAGACACAGCAGACGCTTCCAAGCTAGCATCTCTCACAAGGGCTTTTTCTTAGATTTAATGTAATTTAAAAATAAATTTTTTGTAACAGTCTTGCCAGGTATGGAATGTGGTGTCCCATTAAAATAAGAATCTAGGGAATATTTAATGAAATATTGTAAATTTTAAGATAGTTTTTTCTTTAAAATATACATATTTTTAAACTGTTTATACAGTCCAGGCAGTGTTAGCACCATGCTTCTGTTTTGTTCAGAAGTGTGATGAATACAGAAATGCTTTGTTTTGGAGAGGCAGTCACTATTTTATATACTTTTTAAAAACTGTATGAAGTGGAAATTAGCAGTTGAAAATTAACACTGCACAGCTTGAAACTGCTAGCAGAAACCAGGGCATGTCTTTGTACAAGCCTCAGACAGCACACAGGGGACAGAGGGCTTAGTTAGGGTGCTGCTGGGCTCCTCTACTGCTAGACTAGATGATCAAGATAATTTCAAACGTACTACAGCTTTTATTATTTCTAGTCTTAATTTGTGGTTAATTGATGCTGGAGCTGAGTGAGGGATTTGGTACATTTTGATAAAACTGTGATTTAAGGAATTGAAATTGAGAACTGTTTTTCTCTAGAGTAGGCTACAATAAAGTTAACTTTTAGTGTGGGAAAGGTGTAAGAGTAAAGCTTCAGTCATTTGACATGCACATTAAAAGCTAAAGACCTTTTTTATTAGGACAAGCTTAGGGTGGCTTTGAGTCAGTGTTCAAACAGTAATAATGTGCCGGGTATGTTTTGTTGCTTTAACTGTTGTTTAAATTGCTTTTCAGATAGTCCTAAATACACTCAGATATACCCAGTGCTAAATTAATATTTTGTTTTGCTTTAAAACCTAGGGGAAGATGTATGCCAATTCATCATATGCTTCAACTCCACACTGAAATGGTAGTCAGGCAAATGAGTTTTGGGTTTAATCATAGTTTGCCCAAATTGCACTTTACTATTTGCTGCTGTATTTAAAAATAAATAAAATAAAGCTTCTTTGGGAAAGCTCTCCTGTGATCTCTGAAGTGAGATGATGACTTTAAAAGACTGTGAAATTCCCTTGAAAAGTACACCTGCAAATACTAATTTGCCTAATGGTTGATTAAAAAAGAAGTGAGTAAGGTGTGAGAGAAGAAAGAGTACCAGAGCATTGGGAGGAACTAGATACTGCCTTTTGTGTGCTCTTTGCAAGGTTAAATAGGTACTCAGGCACATGGTAATGTAGCTGTTCTTGAAACTGGTAGAATGTCAAACTGTTATTCTCAGAGGATGAAACTGGTCTAATGAAGCTGTTTAGCATGGGAACCACTCTGAGGAGCAGAGTAATCTCACATGCTTGATGGTTTTCATGGCTCTGGGCCCATAATTATTTATGTTGTCCCATGATTTTCCTTTGAAAGTTTAAAAAGGGTGGTGATACTGTTTCTGGCAATGTCTTAATTTTTTTTAACAGTGAAGAAAATGTGGATCTGAAGTCTTTTCACTTGGATTCTCCCTGTTTGACATCCACGCAGAAGGGAGACAGGCCTCAAAGATGTGACAAATTCTCTGATGAAGACTCCCCTCTGGAGATCGGTAACCTTTCAGTGACTAAGCCAACTAACAGATGCTGCAGTGCAACCAAGGACCAAGTCAGTATTGTATTGCAGAAGGTACTTCATTAATTTTAAGGGGAATTGTGGTGGACGGTAGGAAAGCAAATGTCTGCCAGCATGGGAGAACTAAGGACTTGAATGATGAGACAGCAGGCTTAAAGCAAAAGTGGTAAAATATTTTTTCAAAATGATTCCTTGTTGTTTCAGTATGTCTTGGACAGCATGAGTGAGTTAAAAAAAGAAAAAAATATATATGCTTTTAAAATTAAAGGGTTTAGCATAATGGATGCTGTCTAATTGGTAATTGCAGTAAAATGCTTGGACACAGTTATTAGAAGCTATTGGACACTGTCAGTTTCCTATTCTGACTGGTTTTCCCTCTTTCTTGTGTCTTTGTTTATTCTCCCCTTTATCACTGAAGTACTGCTGTTGTGTGCACGACATGAAGATCTAAAAATCTAACACTAGGAAAGACCTCTGTGTTTATTAGAAATATCAGCATTTAGACAGAGTCTGGAGCTGTGTTATGTTGTAGTACTTTGAACTGAAACATTTCAAAATGAACGCGATAATGCTTGGTATGTTATAATCTTTTGACATATTCCAAAAAGATAATTTCAAACTTTGGCTCACTTTCTGTCTCCTCCAGGATGCTGGTTCCCCCATAAGTAAGCTGCAGCGTGCGTTGGCTGAGTCCCGACAGATGGTTGCTGATCTGGAGCTTAGCACTCTGCTCCATGCGAGCCCTCGCTGCAGTCCAAACAGCAGCAACGTTAATACGGTATATTTTGCTCTCCCATGACTAGATTTAGGTGGCCAGGGGTAGTGACTCTGAACATCCTTGCCCTTATGCTTGACTTGCGCTTAGACATTATAAGCAATATCCTCCTCACACTTTGCTGAAGATAAAGTTCCTGCATGCCTTAGCATGAAGTACTTGAATTTTTTATAGGGTTCTTTATGACTCCTCAAGGTCATGACAGGATTTGACTTTTGCATGTGTCTAAACAGATGGAAGGAAGAAGTCAATTTGGAGCAAGCTGTAGGTGGGCTAGAAGAAAGCAAACACAAGTATGACTTGCATTCAGAACTGGTGTATTACGCTAGGTTTATTTGAGGAAAGGAGGACAGTATAGGAAATAGGTGAGATAAGAATAGTTTTGCACATGAATTTAAACCAGACTTGGCTTAACTAACTTCAGAGGTTTTGTGGGCTAATAGTTTTAGTTCCTTCATTGCAGGGTCAGAGAACATACTCAATGGTCAAAGAAAATAACCTGTGTATAGCTGTCATGGCAATTTATTTTATGAGCGTGAACACTGCTAGGGAGATTCTGTCTTGAGTACGTGGGCAATATTGGAGAAGGGTTCACTTGTTTGTTTTCATAAATAGCCTTAAGATTTTCTACCTTGTTTGACAAGGAGATCATTCCATGTGTGACTAGAAATGAGTAACTGTGTGGTGATATATATCACAAAGGGAGAATTTAGGTTTTTGTTTTTAAAGCAGACCCCTGATGGGAAGGCTGCATGCTGAAACCTCAGCTTTCTCCCAAAAGGTATTCCCTCTAAAAATGTTGCACTCCTTTTATCCTTAGATGAACTTGACCAGAACAATGTTACTGTAAGTAACAGACAAAGCAATTTTGATAACATTCAGAACCATAAAACCTTAGCTGTGCTGGGACTGACTGACAGTATAAAGGTTGTGTGCCAGTGTTTGCATAAACTGAAAGGATATTTTGTTCAGAAGTTCATCTGCAGGATTTCATTCAGCATGAAAGACAGCAGCAGTGTAGTCTTTTGCAAAGACTGTCTTGTAGGAGGGTTTCCTGAAAAGCTCTCTACAAAACAGTGCTTGCTTGTGGCTCTTGCCCAGCCCCATCAGCTGTCTGGCTTCTGCTTACTGGTTGGCACGTCAGTTCAGCTAAACCGGCTGTCCTTTATTAGCAAGCATGACTCTGCTTTATAACCTGATACTGCATTTTTGAGCTGGGAAATTGGCTTCTCATTCAGAACGGTTGCTTTAGTGGGTAGAAAATAAAGCAGGCTCGTGTTTACTGGCAGGGGCAGCTTCTGAACCACATCTGTAGAACTCTGATCTACTTTCAGAACGATTCTGGGCAAGAACTTGTCAAGCGTGTTTTAGTTAATCTTTGCAGGCAGGCCGACTAACCTGTGCTTAAAACCATGTTTACCTGAGGCTGTTTTAAATTGTGCTTTAAAACATAATATATATCAAATATAACCCTTAGAATTTAGTCAGTAAGAATTTGTGCATGTTGAATTCTGTGCTCTCCTTGGGCGAGGGAGGAGAAGAGGAAATTAAAAAGTGTATCCTTGCTACTCGCCAGTTTGAACCTGGCAGCTCTGTAATTTTTATATGAGTTCTTTGATTTCCATGTAGTGTTTTTGCATTACAATGTAGACAGCAGAACTTGCAGAAGCTCTTCACAGAACCCAGTTACCTGCTGCAAAAGAAAGAGATGCTAAGCTTCCATTCTTTTCTCTATGATGTTCCGTAAGTATGAGTTCCGTGTTTTCAACTTGATTTTTTTGTTGGTTTTTTTTTTGTTTCTCTCTTTATAAGTGCATCTGCAATATTAATACAAGTTATGGACTTCTGGGATGAGCCTGACACAAGATTCTAAGTGCACTGCTCTGAATGCATTTCCAATAAAACTGTTGCGAGTACTGTAACAGTAAACATATTAAGGCAGCAAGTAATTCCTTTAGTCAAGTAATTAAGCTTTTCTCAGGCATGTTCCTCATCCTCTGGGCAGTCAGATCTCGAAGCTCCATCCTCAAGTACCTGCACTCCGCTTATTGTGGTTAAAATCCTTCTGTGTGTTACAGATAACAGGATCAAGGATATGAACATTGTTGAATAAGAGGTTGGGAAGTGTTTTTCAGTGCCATGGCCAAGGGCCATTTTAGGATATTGTTCCTGGGCTCAAAGCTCCAAAAGTAGAATGTATTGAATAGATCTGTTTCAGAATATAAAAAGCAGCCTTGCCCATAGCAGATTGTATTTTTCTTTTTGAATCAGGAAATTTCTCACTCTCTGATTATTTGTTCTGCTAATGTAAATTGGATGCTTGTAGTAGGCACCATGTTGTCTGGTTCTGAGGACAAAAGAGTAACCAGAGATGGTTAAAATACCAAACACCATGTGAAACTGAGTAAGAATTAGCAACAATGCGGGGGAAAATAGACAAAAAAAGAAATCTTCAAGTGCTGATACAACACAAGCACATGTCTGCAGTGGGAAGTTACCACACAGCGAGCTGAGTGTGAAGCTGTGTGGCACTGGATTTCTCATACTGACCAACTTCGATCCCCAGGGAGCTGGCGCTCAGTTCTTCTCTCTCAGTATATTCAAACTGCAGCCTCTGAACTGTTTCTCCTGTGCAGAGCCAAAGCCTCCATGCCCCTGGGGAGTGGTGTTGGTTTGTAGCACCCTCATGTTCTGCTGTTTCTGCATTAAGTCTGGAGACATTAAGTTGTCTTTCAAAATAAGTTGGGTCTGCTTAGTGCACGCTAATGAAGCTCTCGGAGGAAATGAATGCTGAGTAGCTGGAATGCCGTACCTCACTCTGCTGTAATGTTCCTGTGTAGAGAGCTCTTCTTTTCCTAAAAAAGAGCTCTAAGGGAAAAAGAAGCTGGAGGTTTTATAGATTGAAGCCAGCACTGTGACTTGCGTCCTGAAACTACTGATGTTAAAAAGTTTCAGGAGCAAATCCCCAAAATTGCTGAGCACCATGCTGATAATACAGCAAAGCAGTAAGCGTACGCTTAGCCTACAGAAATAATCTCATTTGCTTCAAGTGAGAAAGAACTGGTGGAACAAACGTGCCCACAATTCACTGTCGATCCATGACAAGAATTAGTGACTGTGCAAGTCACTGGCTGCTGCATAATGCTTATTTTCTTTGTTCATTAAAAGGCACTGAAACACTGTGATCAGTTAAATCCAAAGCAGCATTTGCAGAGTTGATAGCAGGTCCAGAAATAACAAATGTTTGTGCAATTTTGTATAGAAAAGTGATTGAATTCATTTTGATTGAATGTTGTTTTTTTTTAATTGCTTTGAAATCATTAAAGGGCAGGTGCACTGATAAACATTACGTTAATTTCCTAACTAACTGCCAGGGATTTAGCCATTTTCTTCAGTTGCTTTTCCTTTAGAGAGAAATTGGGTGGGGGAGAGTTGAAGCACAGAGGAGGAAAGCAATGAGTAAAAGGATATATTCAGTTTTGGACACCATAGCATGTGCCACTGCTCATAAACTGTGACTCAGTGGCTGGGCGAGGGCACAAAGATCACTTCTTTTTGCAAAACAAACTGGAAAGATTTTATTTCATAACACTCCAGTGGTGTCCCTGAGACTGTTGTCTTTCTGTGAAGTCCTTTGCTTACCTTTCTCCTCTTTATATTTTTCTTCTATGTTTTTATCCTGTTTGAAGTGCGAAAATTTAGATAGTAAATCAACACATACGTGATTGCTTAAAATATTTTGGAGGAAATTTTCCTGTCTTTTAATACAAATGTTTAATTTTCTGCAGTGAATGAAGAAGTTTCTGATATAGAATTAATTCTGAGAACTGAAAATCATCCACCTGTCAGCTACAGTGGAAAGTTACCCTGTTTTTTCTATGGTTCTTTGAGTGTTTGAAAGACTCACAAGTGGCAAAAAGATATGGCTATGCAGGCATATTTTATCTTGAAATAAAACATAGAATTATGCCAAGATTAACAAAACTATTTTTATAACCGAGAGCTCAGGTTAAATAGTAGCTTGTTTTTTAAGAATTTTGTGTGTAATTGTTATGACATAGGACCTATTTTTCTTACTTTTTTTTTTTTCTTTTTTTATGGTAACTCAGAAATATTTATAGAGTATGACACAGCCAAGCATTCAATTTTTTTTTTGTTAGGTTATTGTTTTTGTTCTGGACTTCTTGCCCTGTAGAGATGAATAATGTTTATAGGAAGTTCCCAATTAGTGTTGCAGCCAGGAACTGCCTCCTACATGGTCAAAATGGAAGAGCTCTCACCCAAAGATGGGCAAAACTTCCACGGGCAGGAGCCCTTTATCCTCACAAAAGCCTGTAACCAGATCAGGTGTGTGTATGGGCTCCGTTAGCTCTGTACAGCAGCCAGGCATAATGGCACTGGCTTTTTTAGCATTTCAACTGGTTTTACTTTTGACTATTGGGGAAGGCATGTTCCATTATCACAGTTTAAACTTACTTTTTAACTAAAAGATTAAATAAGCTAATAAAGGTGCTACCTCTCCTGTATCTTTCTTGCCTATTTACCACACTGTCCAACACATTTAGTACTTAACTTGCGATGGTTCTGTGGGACACGGGACACCAACTCCTGGAGACACAAGTGGGCCACTGGCTCGTGTGCGGTTTGGGACACCCGTGCCAAGTCCACCCTGCTGAGCGCTGCGCCAGCGGTTTTCCTGCGTGGGGGGCGGCTAAGGGGTGGGAGTCTCTGGCTCTAGCCACTGCCATGAATTAATTGCAGTGAAATACAATACTTCCACCGTGGCTTCCCCTTGTTAACTCTTTCATATAATTTTCCGCTTTCTCTTTAATTACCTAAATGACAGCTTCCTTTCCTTTGTGTGTTAATGGCCTCAAAATTAGTTGACGAATTCTGATCATAGCTGCTGTCCTCCCAAATTTTTTCCCTCCCTGCCCGCAAGCGTTACCCAGAGAGGGAATCTCAGCTTCTCAGGTTTTTTTTCAAGTTTCCACAATCCTTTAAAGTGCGTTTGATTCCTCTGCCTGCACCACAACTTTCCAGGCTCCGTCCTCAGAATCTGCTGCTGTGACTATGACAATTACCCCCAAAAAGTCACCAATAGCAAGACCATGATGCTCAGGCTGAAGCTGTCCAGCAGCTGTACTGTAGGTTGAGCCTTAGAGAAATTGGTGCAGCTTCCTCAGCGTGAGCTGCGCTTCCTGGTTTAAAGGTTTTTAGAGTTAGCGGATGAAGGTGCTCAACCCCCTTGTGAATTTAAAATGCTCTACTGATGGCTTTAAAATCAATATAGAAAACTGAGCTCAAGCGATGCAACAGAGATCCACGGAGCTTTAGGATTTTGTGCTGGGGCTGACCTGGATTTATGGAATGGGAAGAAAGAGTTAGTTTATTCTTAAAAAATGACTATTAGGGTTAGTTTATTCTTAAATGACTTAAAACCCCAGCTTTATTATCTACCGTGCTCTGAGGCTCGTATCGAAACTCAAGGTGCCCCAAACTTCGCTGCCTTATTTCTGGAAGCATTACAGATACTCCAGCGAGTGCCTTTCCTATCGTCTTCTTGCAGTAAATTATTATTAAAGACAACAAAGCTACTGCTCAGCTAGGGCCTGCTTTCTACAGGGGTGGGTGTGCTGCCTGACTTTTCTAAAGGGAAGGCTGAGGAGGCGGTAGCAACGAAGCTCCGAGACTCTTACACGCGTCGCGCGTGTATTTGCAGGGTTTAATCCCGAGAAGGGTGAAGAGGGGCTCCGCCGCGTTATCAGAAACGGGGCGCAGAGTTGGGAAACAGGGAGGTAGTGGGGGCGGGAAGATGCCGCCGCTCCACCTGCCCGCGGGTGGGCGTGGGGCTGGGCGGGGCCGCGCGGGGGCCGGGCGCGGCCGCTAGGGGCGCCCTGGTGCGCGGGCGCGGCGCGGCGCGGCGCAGTGCGCGGCCGGGGGGTGGTGAAGGGAGGGGGGGAGGGAGCGATTGGTGCCTGCGCGGGGCGCGGAACGCGGTTCCACCATGAACAGCATCAAGAGCGTCCCTGCGCGGGTGCTGAGCCGCCGCGGAGGGCACAGCTTGGAGGCGGAGCGGGAGCACTTCGACAAGAGCCAGGCAATGGGCGGCGGAAGGCGGGTGGGGGGGTTGCCCCGGGACCGGCTCCGGGACCGGCGTGGGGGGGAAGCGCGAGTGCTGAGGAGCGGGCCCTCTCCGTTCCGCGGGGCGCGCTGTAACGCGGGAGCTTCCCGGGGAATGGGGGTGGGCTCCGGGGACCCCCAGGTGGGGCGGTGCGTCTGTCCCTCTGTCCGTCCCCGCTGCCGGCGCGGCTCACGCTTCCCCCCCGCCCCCGCCTGCCCCACTGCTTCCTCCCGGTCCCGCGTGGGTACCGGCCCGGCCCGCTGCCCCTGGGCCGAGCACCGGGGCCGGTTCCCTGCCAACCGCCGCCGCCCCGGCGGGCAGCGGAGAGCCCCGGGCAGGCGGCTCCACACACAACCCCCCCCGCACCTCCCCCGGGCCTTATCGGCAGGTAAACACGGCCGTGAGCAAACAGGGAAAGTTTTATGGCCCTGGCCGTGGCGGCCGGAGCGCGGCCGAGCCCGGGAGCCAGCGCAGGCAGGAGCCCGGGGCTCCCTCCCGGTGCCCACCGCGCCGCTAACGCGCATCTCTGCATCCCGGTCCCGCGGCAGCTCCGGTGAAACCGGGGGCTCGTTTGTCCCGGGGTTGGGTCACACGTGGGGTCTCCCGCCGCGGGGGTTGGGATGCGCGGCCACGGGGAGAGTGGCAGAGTGAAAACAAAGCCTAAACGTGTTCGTGCCTCGAGGTGTCCGGCTTGGACGGGGGTGGCCGTACCCCTTCCTGCGGCCCCTGTGGGGTGGGGGATGCTCGGGTGTGACGGGGCCGGCGTACGGCTTGTGGGAAACTAATTACTTCAACAGTGTGGGCAGGGATGGACAGAGGGACAGGCTTGCTGGCTGCCCCAGCAAAAATAATAGTGCCCTCACGGCACACATCCTCTGACGCCTCTGATTTTGCAGGCTGCAAATACATTGCAGATATTTTCATTCTTTGCTTTGCTGGCCCATCCCCGGCCCCTGGGCTGGTTTGGCCCCGGAGAATGCCAGAGAAGGCAGGTGGTGATTTTGGGCCTCGTGGGGTCACGGTGGTGCTGGGTAGGAAACGGAGCTTGTTGGGTTTGGGGAGCAACACGAGAAAACCGGCAATTCCGGTTCCTTCTGGATGCGTCTCCTTCAATCGTCCCGCTGGGCACCGCTGATAAATAATCGCGGCGGCAGCGCTGCCTCGTGCGCCGAAGGGCAGCCTGTGCCGGCCGTGCGGGAGCGGGTTCCTCCTCCCTCCCACCCTTCCACGGCATTTTGTGGGATTTGTGCGCTGCGTCGGTGCGACTTCGCTCGCAGTCACCGGGATGCCGTGGGCAGAGCCACAGACAGGGTGAACGGGTGGTCACTCTCCGTTAGAGAGCTAAACCCCGGGCTCGCTGGCAGACAGTCACAGTCACCACCCAGAACTGACCTTTTTTTCCAGCAACTGCTGAAAAAGTGTCCTAGAGAAGCTTTATCCTAACGTGGTTTCCCATAGTTGTGCTTCAGGTGAGAGCAAAACTGTTCCTCTGTCAGTACGTATCGATCTGCACTTTACATCTAATTATAGCAGCTGCGGAGATGGCTGTCGGTCGCCTTTGTATCGTGGGGACGCTGGTGGCACGTCCATTCCACGCGCCTTCACCGGCCAAGGATTTCACACCATCCCTGGAGAAGGATGCTGCCCCATCTCCTTTCCCCCTGTGAAGGTTGGGGCGATGCCCCTGGGTGCGGACAGGAGTTGCTGGCCCTGGTATGATCCCAGGTGCTTGAGGGTGACGTGAAGGTCACCTGCCTTCTCTGAAAATGTTTTTTGAGGTCTTGTGTCAGGGTGGTACAGATGTCCCCTTTGGAGCGGTTGCCAGTGGGAGGTGGGAAGCTGCCGTCCCACAGTGGGTGCTCACTTTCCAGCCTGACAGGAGGCAAAACTTGCCTTTTTCTGTGGCCATTCTGAAATAAGAATGTTAAAAATCCAGAAAGCTCCTGAGCTGCCAGGAATACAGTGTGTGTAACGGCCGAGTGGTGCCTTCTTTGGTGTAATTTGGGAAGGAGAAACGTTAGGAAGGGAACTCCAGGGCAGCCGTTTGCAGTTGGGCTGATCCAGCAGCCCTCGTGCTGCCTGGCCGGGGAGGTTTCCAGCTTGACATCCTGCTGACAAAAAAATCACTCCCTGCCACGGCGTCGTGCTGGAACCTGGCATCCACCTGCCGGGTGGGGATTACGGCCCCGCGGGATGCGAGGGTTTCGGGGAGCCGTGGGCAGGGAGGATCACGCCGTAATTAAAAGCAGCCTGGAAAGGACGGGTGGATGTAAACTGTGCTCCTTCATTTGGGTGCTTTGATCCTGGCTTTAGTCACCGGCTTGGTACGTGAGGGCTGTGAGTAAGGCATTTGGGCTGCACCCGTGTGGGCTCCCACGGCCCGTGGTCAGGCAGGTTTTGGGGTCAGACCCCACCGCTGACGGGGCTGGGGCTGCTCCGCTCCCCAGCAGTGATGGGGAACTGTCCCGCAGGTGGCATGAAGACTTTGGCCAGGCTGGTTGTGCTCTTGCCCTGACATTGGAGACCTACCTATCTCCAGACATGCCGATGATGTTCCAAGAGGCCGGGTCAAGTGTGAATCTCCCCGTTTTGGAGCTGTCTTCCACAGCCCAGCTTCACCGGGCAGCCGGCAGCGACATCCTGAAGGCATGAGTGTCCCAGGCTGCAGCGTCACCCTGTGCCCATCCCTGGTCCCAGCATCCCCTTTTTGTGGACCTCCTGGATAGCCCAGAGTTTAGAGCCAGCAAAAGCACATGTGAACTGGCAGTCCCGAGGGATTGGCATTGGGTCGGTACCACTGTGGTTTATTCGGGACCACGCTGGACGTGGTGTCTGAGTCATGGCAAAGCTGTGGGTGGGCTGGGGGCTGCCCCTGCACCACTCCACTCCTCTGTGTTGGATGTCAAATGGCTCAGTTGAAACCTCTGCGCTGAATCACCAAAAATGAAACCGGCCTCTCTGGCAGCTCCCGGGCTGAATTTTGGCTGGTCAGGCTGGAAATGAGATTTTGGGCAATAAACACAGTAAAACCACCAACACCGATGGGAATTACAGCCTGGTTTTGGGCCAGGCCAGCTGGGTCCCAGCCCTATCCCAGTTCTGCCGGGCAGTACTGGGTGGCTGAGCTCCTGTCCCTGGAGACATGGGATGGCATTTCCCTGGGGGTCTGCCCTCGACTTGCACATTGGCCCCTCTGGTTGTGTCTCCTCCTGGCCCCGTGGGGCTTGAGGCTGAGCCTGGCTCCCACTGATGGGCTGGGGCGAGCTCATCATGCTGCTCCTGCACACAGCGGGTGGTGAAAATCCAGGTTTGGGAGATGTGTCTGCCCCGCTCCTCGCCTATGCAAAACACCTCGGTAACATGCAATAGCCCCTTTAGCAGCCCTTGACTGGAAGATATGTT